ATATAATATAATATAAATCGCATCAGTCGAAATAAACGTGAAAAAACAGCTTCACAGTTTCAGGTTAATGCATCACCGTTGCGTTCCTGTGCGTGAATGGTGCATTGTGGGATGAAATAAGATGCTGGCAAAAAGGAGCTGAAGGAAAACGCTCGCAAGCGCGCGTGGAGGCAGCGTTTCGACCAATTGCAAAGCGCAGCATGCAGCAGAGTAGGCGGGGCCTAGCCGGAGCACATCACCCATCTAACCTACCTTCACGCGCTTATTGTGTAAATCTTTTAAAAACCAATTACCGCAGCGTCACCTCAAACATTCCTCCTCTCTGCCTCGGCGAAATACACATTTTTTTAAACCAGTTGAACTCTTATTTTTGTTTTGGCGTGGCGTAAGGAAAGGTGAGTTACAGAAGGTTCACTTCTACGTTTGCTAAATTTCGGGTTCGAGTTTGTTGTGTGTTTTTACGTTTTCACACATTTTGATTGGCCGTAACGTTGTTAGCATGTTTCGATGTTAGCATCTGTATGTGGATTATACACTTAGTTTTTACCTTCCTGGCGCAATTGTCGCTTTTATAGGAAAGATTTTGCTCAGTAATTTAACTCCACCTGTATCAAGTTTCAATTTATGCGACGCTCAAGTCATGGATGGTTTTGCTAAGCAGCTCAAGTTCCGCGTTTTGCATTGAAGCCCATAATAATAACCATCATCATGCCTTTATTTTTAGTATTTACACGGTTGAGGAGTCGCGGTGATCTTGTTGGCCTAAAAACCCCGTCCTCGCATCACCACGTGCAGTAGTGTCATATTTTCAGTGTACGGTCCCGTTTCAACCCACAGCGGACAGCATCAACCATGACCGACAGAAAAGCGGTGATCAAGAACGCCGACATGTCCGAGGACATGCAGCAGGACGCCGTGGACTGTGCCACCCAGGCCATGGAGAAGTACAACATAGAGAAGGACATCGCTGCCTACATCAAGAAGGTGAGACAGGAAGATGAGGGCTCATGCAAAAATCCACAAAATTTTACTCAACCACCCTTGTTTACAAACATTTCTGACATTTGTGTTGATGCCATGCCACAGAATCAGGATGGTCATACGTTTTTATAACTGTGAGGTCAATTTTTCTCTTCTACTGTGGTTTAATAGTTAGGTTTAGAGATATGGTGTGAATTACGGTGAGTTTTGGTTAAGGTTAGGAATTGACTAGTAATGTTTAAGGTTAAGGAAAAGTCCATATTCGGCATAAATACAGTTACAAAAATGAATGGAAGTCAATACAAAGTCCTCAGTTTGAAGGAAGTACAAGGATGTGTGTGTGTGTTTGTAGTATTAGGAAGAGGAGTCGGTTCCTCTAAATCTGAGGCCATGGTTTTCAACCAGAAACGGGTAGGATTTCCCTCCGGGGAGAGTCTCGGGTGTAGGAGTCCACATATCTGGGCGTTTTGTTCACGAGTGATTGTAGGATGGAAAGGATGGAACAGGAGATGGATCAAAGGATCTGGGCTTCATTCTCATTAATGTAGGTGTTGTTCCGGTCAGTCGCAACTAAGGAAGAGTCGAGTCAAAAGGCAAACATGAGGTTTGGATCAAGACCAAAAGAACGAGATCCCTGATACATGCAGGGATTATAGGATAGCCAGGTTCAGCCTTAAAGATGGGGTGAGGAGCTCCGCCATCCAGAGGGAGCTTGGACTAGAGCTGCTGCTTCTTCACATTGAAAAGATAATTTTGATAATTAGCCCTATTTTTTTAAATGAAAACCAGCCATATTAGTCTATTTCTGTTGCTGTTGTGCTATTTAAAATTCTCAGGTGGCCTGTACTTTTGTTTGGATTTAATTTATCGTTTTAGTTGAACAATAACAGTCTCAGGGACACATCTGCAAGGTAAAATAACTAAAATAGGCCTCTGTCTGAATCAGGGTTGGATATTACTAGAAGACATTACGTTCACACATTTAAATATGAAGATCTAATGACAAAAAGTCTCCCAGTACTATCTGAACAGTGATGTCATTGGTGAACTCATTCAAGGCTCAACTGTGAAAGATGGTCTGAAATAATCAAAGCGACAGAACGGTACAAAAGGGGGTGAGACGCTGTAGATCTCCAGCCGTAAAATCCAATTAAATTTGAAGAAAATCAGAAACAATTGTGATCCTGTGCTGCAAAAATAAGTCAAGGAGGAAAGTTTTCAGTCTTGAGTTGCTATTCTTTTCTATTTCTCCATCTCAAAACCTTCAAAATGATATGTAGTTTTACATCTGACATATTGTTACAATAATATCACAAACAATGCTCTAACTTTTAACACTTTTTTTTAGAAAAATTATTCAATTTGCTCAACTCAGTTTAGTGGAACCAGCTGACATAACTTTTAAGTAAATTCAACACTTCATTTCAGTGTGTATTACTTTTCCAATTTATTATGAGCAATTTTATTTATTTTTTTACTTAAAGTAAAACCAATTTTTAACACTCATTTTCTATTTTTTAAATTTAAAATTAGTTTGACCCAGTCTCTTAAATAGCCATGCTTTTTACTTTGTGTGTAATTTGCAGCCATTTATTTAATGCCCTCCTCCTTTTTTGTGTGTCTTTCAGGAGTTTGACAAGAAGTATAACCCGACCTGGCACTGCATCGTCGGGAGGAACTTCGGAAGCTACGTCACCCACGAGACAAAGCACTTTATTTATTTTTACCTGGGCCAAGTGGCCATCTTACTCTTCAAGTCTGGCTGATAAGTTTCTGATGGGTACGGAGGGAGTTTGCCTCCCTGAAGCTAAATCTGAAACGCACCGGTGGCTGATGTCTCCCATACACTAACAACAACATACCATAACGATGCAAAACCCGCCGTGCGCAGTTGCATGGACTATACACTATATAATATGTATGTTACAGTAAGTTTACTTTTCAAAAGTTGCCATTTGAACGCAACTGAAGTAGTTTTCGTTGAAGCTGTCGAAATTCTAGGTTATATGAAATTTCCGCGTGGCCCTTGATTGTGAAAATAAAGGAAAGCTGTCGAATGTAGTGGTTCATCTGCTTTCCGTCACCAGTTAGAGAAGTTTCTGTTTGAGACGGTAAAATTATAACACATTCACCCAGTTTAACAAATTATCTTTTACTTGGATTTTAAAATTCTGTTTGTTTGTTTTTTTAATCTACATTGTGATTTTAAAAAACGTTTGCAGTCTAAAATGCACAAAATCAAATCTGGATGGAACGTTTTTTTGTTTTGTTTTTTTTTTTTTGTTTGTTTTAGCAGCCGAGTTCAGAGAAGATGTCACAACATCTGACAAACTTGACACTTTGGAAACTGTCACGAGAGAGTGCAAATATTTCCAGGTATGTGAAGTTTGTCAAATTTTAAAGTTCACTGTGAAAGAAAACAGCAGTTAGGGCTCACACTCACACACACAGACCTTTAGCCTGTAACATCCATGTTCCAACACCAAGACACTCCACCTAACTTTAGATTTTCAGTGTTAAATGCATGTTTGAAAGGACAGTAACCACGTTTCATTTAACAACAAGAAGACACAGCTTTTCCTGGAGGAGATTATTATTATTATTAATTTGAACTGACACTCTTGAGTTTGTAAATATTGGACATAATTGACGTGTGTCTTGTCCCAGTAATAGGCAGGTGTTTTAGGTAAACGCTTGCTGCTAAGTCCTACTAGGCTACCATCACTCCCGTGTTCTGGGTGGTCGTGTCGTCTCACGTGGCTCGTGATATTTTAAACTCGCAGCTTCCTGAGCTTTTATTTTTTTTAGTTTTTACGTTGCCTGTGTACCCGTCATGCCTGGCTAAATTTTGAGTTTGGACTCTTAAACTTCAAACAGGTTGTTCTCTTGTCAAATTTCTAGTTTTTGAGTTTTTTGTAATATCAGTAAGATTAATTTGAAATGGCGACGCACAATGTTGGGATTCTGATTAAACGTGCGCGTTTGAGGACGGACTGGTGACGAGTGTTTCTCGCCGAGTTGTTTTCCTCATACGTCTGCTGAGGGTGAATCGTTTAAAAAAGTGTTAGTTTGGATTGATGTTTTTTTTCTGAGGAACGTCTTCCTGATTATCGTCGATGTGAAATGATTTTTAGTTTTTCTTCTGGCATGTATTTTTTGCGATGTACGTGTACTGTAGGAGCCGTTCCGATGCCGTTTAAATTTGCACAAAACGTGTGCCTGTCATTGCTCTCAACTGTAACTGGCTTGAGTACAATTGCACTTCATTAGAACTATCCAGTAGGTTGCTACAGAACCAAAATTGTTAAAATAAAATAAAAATTCATTGTTGACTTATACTGTGGCCTTTTTATTTTTGTCTCGACCCTTTTTGGTTTGTTTTGCTGAAACCATTAGTTGATTATGACAAAGTATTAAGGTCAAACTAAGAGGAAAAATATTAACTTGCAAGAATAAAGACTTAAAATTAGGTGTCATGTCCATTTTCCGTTCCTGGGTTGGCTCACGTGCTGTGGACATCCTCCGATGTGTGTCACTGTTTATGATGTAGTGTTTATTAGGGGTGCAACAATACATGTACCCGTATCGAACTGTTCAATACGGTGCTTTAGGTTCAATACACACTTGTATCGAACAATACAGATTTCTAAAATTTATTTTATCAGCTTGTCTTCTGAAGCTGTGCTGTGTTGAAGGTTCAGTAGGTCTGTGTTTGACTAATCCATGTAGGGTGCACTGTCGAGCACAGATCCACCAAGAAACCTGCTGTTTCAGCAACATTTAAAAACTGGACTTTTGAGGTTAAACAAATGTTCATAATTAATTTAAACAAATTACAAGTTATGAAGGCCATGGACATTTCTCTTTTATTTTATATCGAAAAAATTTCGAACCGTGAGACTAAAGTATCGAACCGAATCATGAATTTTCTATATCGTTGCACCCCTGGTGTTTATGGGTCACTGTTATTGTAGCTTCCATCCACATTACTGTCACAATTAAATCCATCAAAGCAGCTATTAACTGCAACGCCATACAACTTTAATTTACTGTATGAAACCATACGCCACAGTGTGTTGGGCCCCTTGCTATTCTGCTGCTGATGTCGGGGAAAGTCATCAAGATTTTTGAAGGTGTTATGCTGTTTCAAACTCCAAAGAGCTTTTTTTAACTGCAAATTTGCTTATTTTAGTCATTTCCCCCCCATCAAAGCTGGTTTCATCGTGATAGTCCAGAAATTTCATAAACCATTCGTATTTTTGGTTGTATGATCATTACATTGTCACAGTTTTACCTTTTTTTAAATTAAATATAATTCACCTGATAGGTATAAATGTCCACAATTCTACTGAGTTTCTTCATCACAAGGCTTGTCTTTTTAAAAAAAAAAAGCTAACTAGCTTAAAAAATTTCATTGTTTCATAAAGAGAACAAGGTAAATTTCTCTTATTTATTTTTATTAAATATATAGCTAATGATGATTTTACATCTCGCAAAGTTGGAACCCCCCCACCCCCCACCATATAATTTCCCTGAAATGTAAGCAGGATGATCTAATAAGTTAATAGGGAAACCAGATGACTACATGAATAAATCATTGGTGCAGCTCTAGTTTCATTTCAGACCAAACAAGCTAAACAACAAATATCCTAATTTTGTCAGGTCCTTCCTGTATATTTGGTGATACTAATCAATAATAAAGCAAATTTGCTAATCCTAGACCAAATAAAAAGCTAAATGATGTGAAATTACAAAGTGCTGTTTACGAAGCGTATTGTTGAGGTTTTGGCGTTGTGGTTTAAAAGCTGCAGACTCGACAGTGTGCCTCCAGTGTGAATAGATTGTGCATCATTGTGTAAGTGTGTAAGGTCCATAGCAACAAGTGTGTCAGATGTTCAGTCAGAGACCAGGAGCAGGGACTGTAAGTGTGTCATCGGGCACTGCAGGGCGATGCTGTTCACCCACATGGCTCAGAAATCCTGACATATGACTGAACACTCGCTGCTGGTTATGCAACCTCCCCTGGTACAACTTAGACTACGTTAGACCCCCGTAAGATGGCATCAGTTCGTGCTTGTTTGGATCGAGACCTGGTGACTCTGGAGGCTGTTTGAGTCCAGTAGACTATACCAACCCTATATTCACTGATGTTTATTTTTAGCAAGCTAGTTTCCTGTTTTTACCTGGCAGGAGTGGTTCTCAGTTTGTAGACCATCTGCTTCAAGGTTTTGGACGTGTTGTGTCCACAGATGGTGTTCTGCAGACCTCAGCTGGAACAGACAGGCTGCTTAGAAATGTTTTTTTATGAGCTACACAAGGTGTGAATTTAAAAATATATATATTGATGATGTAGAGGCAGGAGCTGTGAGAAAGGTGATGAATTACAGGATAAGAGATTAATGAATAATTTCTACAGAGAGACAGGTGAGAGGGGATGAAATGAGATACTCTCAGGGTTAGCTGTAGGATATTTTTATATCGTTAAACCTGAAGGTTTATTTGGTGAGAGTAATCATTTCCTTTGAGTTCTCTCAGGCTTCTGAAAGAGAGGTGCGTCTGCCTTCATGGCTGCTTTACACCATTGATTCTTTTATTTATTTTTATTTTTTTCTTCCCATCAGCACCTTCTTCCCCGACATACCTGCTCTCAGCGTTCTGTTCTATAAGCCTCTGTCGGCACGCTCCCAGCCTCCCACACAGAGCTGTAATTTACGGTCGCAGCACATAGCTGATAATTGACTGGACGATGAAACGAACCCCCGCTGCTCTTTAAAAAAAAATAAAAAATTAAAGATGCAGCTGCTGCATGACGAGCTCTCCTGAGGCAGGGGTTAAAGTGTCTGAGCGGTGAGTGAGGACCCTGGAGAAACTGGAAATTTGTGGGGATTTTCAGCAGAAATTAAGATTTGTTTTCTGAATAAGTGTTTTGAAGACAGGCTGAGCTGTCACGGTCTACAGAAGCTCAAAAATTAATCATTAAAATAAAATTCAGGGCAACAAACAAAACTCGCTGAATGCACCATTTTAGCTGAGCTGAGGCCACTTTTAAAAACAGCTATTGATTGATAAAGACAGTTAGGTTAAACACAGACACGTTTCTGCCTTTCAACAGCAAGGGATAAAAATGTTGGAGCAGAGGTCTAACTAAATCCCACACTTCTAACATCTGAACAGTTTTCTCAAAGATCCTGCTAGTGACATATTTTTGTCCTTCTGCTCTACAAATTTTGAGTTGATATGCAAAAAGACCAGTGTAAATTTTATTTCATTTTATTTTTTGGTTGTTCTTGCATTGGCCTAAAATACCCTCTAGTTTTTGTTCATTGATGCAGTGTGTGTGTGTGTTCTGCAGATGCCTCATAGACTGCTAGATGACCAGTGGGTGGACTTAACACCGGCATAACAAGGAGGCACATGACTCAGACTCGAACATTGGTGGTGTTTAGAAAACGAGAGGAAAAAAAAAAACACCCTGGTACATTCATGTGTTGATTGGACATAAGGAACAGAATTACATGTGCAGGTTGAAGTGGATCCGAGGCGTTATCTAAGAAAACCGACTGTTCAATCCTGCAAATGTAAATGTGAGTGATTTGCTTTTATTTATTTATTTATTTATTTATTTATTTATTTTTTCAAGCAGGACAAAAAGACAGAAAAGCATCATCTTTTGCTTTCTGCAGCCTCGCAGCAGGAAGCGTTCGTGTGCAGCTCAGATCCGTCTCGGCGAGCAGTCATAATGAATCGGCATGCACGAAAGGACCGTCCCTGAGTGAGAGGCGTTTATTCTGCACACACACCGTGTCTGATGTGTGTGAATGTTGCACAGATCAGCACAGGTGTAAAAGTAATTCACTGAGCTTTTATGTTCCAGGTTCATTTGCCTTAATAGTTACGCACAATCTCATGTGACATCACCAAGACCTGGCATGATGGGATGGCACTCAGATTATTTGTTCACGATGACTCTCGGCAACTACCACACTAAATTTAAAATCAATATCTGTAAAACGGACTAAGTTATTGTCACTTTGTGTGTTAATTAGCTGTGACAGCCATCTTCAGTTAGGTTGAAGATATTTTACCATCAAATTCGCATTGATTTTTGCCTGTAATTTTCATAATCTCTTTGAAAACTACTAGCAGTAAAGCTGTAAGAAACTGTTTAATTTCTTAGAATAATTTAAAACACTTATTTAATTAAAGGTTTTATTTGATTGTTTTTTTTTTGTCATTGCTTTTGATTAATTTAAAAAATGTAGTTCAATTCCAGGTTGTAAGGTAACAAAATACCACAATAGATGCAAACAGTTGTGCAGTTCTGCATTTGGTCCACAAGAGGGAGACCTTTCACCTCACGACATCCAGTTATGGTAACTGCAGTAATATTTTTAATTTTAAATATTGTCTGAAAATAAATGATAAAAAACAACTTATGTCTTAAAGTAAAATAAATAATCATTTTTGAAAGAAATGCAACGGGTGATAAAAAATATTGTTTATTCTGTTTGTTTACAGACAAACATTGTCAGAAAATTATCTGGAGCTAAATAGAAGAATGAAAAAATATTTCAACTGATTTTTAGCTGCATCTCCAACATCCTTATACCAATATATCCACTGTCCCTCCTCAGGACGTGTCCAAACCAATATACCCACTGTCCCTCCTCAGGACGTGTCCAAACCAATATACCCACTGTCCCTCCTCAGGACGTGTCCAAACCAATATACCCACTGTCACTTTGCAGAACATTTTTAAACCAATATACCCACTGTCATTCCTCAGGACGTGTCCAAACCAATATACCCACTGTCCCTCATCATGATGTGTCCAAACCAGTATACCCACTGTCCCTCCTCAGGACGTGTCCAAACCAATATACCCACTGTCCCTCTGCAGAACATTTCCAAACCAATATACCCACTGTCATTCCTCAGGACGTGTCCAAACCAATATACCCACTGTCCCTCATCATGATGTGTCCAAACCAGTATACCCACT